CCCCCACACCATAACAGAACCACCCCCAAATCGATCATGTCTCATGACGTTAACGTCTTGGAAGCGCTCGTTTCGACGACGCCACACCCTCCTACGTCTGTCCAAAAAATCAACAGTGAACCTTGACTCATCTGAAAACATCACATTGATCCAGCGTCGATTATCCCAGTGTTGACGATCCCTACACCAACGACGTCTTGCCTGAATGTGATGATCTCTCAAACAAGGGATCACGCGAGGACGTCGGGCGCGAAGGTGACCCCTATGCAGTCGATTCCGAATCGTCTGGCCACTCACTCTCACACCAGTGTCTGTTTGAAGACGAGCGCTGATCTGATTTGCTGTGATGACACGATTTCTCAAGGCCAAGGTACGGATAAATCGATCCTGGGGTTGAGTTGTCGCCCTTGGTCGACCTGAGCGTGATCTGTCCTGTACAGATTGTGTATCACGGTATCTGGACCATAGCCTGCTTATGACAGACTGAGAAACATTCATCGTCCGCGCCACAACCGCCTGTGTTGTGCCGATCTGTAGCATGCCAAGGGCACGTAACCTTTCATTTTGGGTAAGCCGACGCATATCAAAATTTGTTTTCTGGTCACTAAAACAATTAAACTGATGTTTCCACCCTGGAATTCAATGCCACAATGACTGTAACATTCAAAGTCAGAGTCGTGCAAATCTTGGGTTGGACCCCCATGATGATCCCAAGCATCACCTGCATTCCATGCAGTAGCTATTGGTGCGTTTGGGCGTCACATGTAACTGGAAATGTTTCTTCTGTTAGGTTCTATAGTGACTTTTTTCGTAGTCATTTGCATATTTTAGTATTATGCCCCAAAAATCAAATATCCCCTACTTTTTTTGAATAGTATAGTATAGGCCTATGGGACGCCATTATTTGAAAGGTAGCTAGTTTGCGATAATATTCCAACTTATATTTTGTTTTCAACTTATTTATAATGTTATCGACATATCATCTGTGATTTGGCACTGTATTAGTATTGGCAGAAATCATGACTACATTTCAGTTTTTTTCCATCACTTCATGACGATATTTCCATGATGGCGACCATTTTTGGCGGGAAAATCGGACGATGTGCTGATTTGGATTAAGTAGTAGTGTTCGGTGTCAATATATATGTTTTCGGGGTCGCAGATTCCATTCCTTACATTCACAACCCTGTAAAATGATCACATATTGACATACTTAGCATATGTCCATGGGATTTGAAACTTGTAAGAGTTTTTCTGTCGCAAATATTTTTAGGTAAATTGATCCACAGTTTTGGTGCAGCAGCACTAAAGCTTCTATCCCCGAACTGTTTTAATTTTGATGATGGAATGCACAAAATGTTTTTGAGGCTGGGATCTCAAAGTACGAGTTGGCTGGTATACGGTTAGTAGGGTGCTGTATCCTGTTGACAATGGGATCTTGAAGTCTATACGCGCATGAATCGGAAGCCAATGTAGGGATTTCAAGACGGATAATATATGATGACTTGTTTGGTCCGGATATGATACGAGCAGCTGTATTCTGTACCTTTTGGAGTCTGTACAGTATGGGTTGTCTACTACCAGCTAGTAAACTGTTACAATAGTCAATTTTTGATAGGACAAGTGATTGAACTAATATGTCCATTTGAAAACTTAGTGCTAAGAAAGATTCCCTCACCACGGTAAGAATTGTTGCACCAACAATCTATAGAACGGCGGTTTCCAGATTTAATCCCCCCCCTCCACTCCCATGGGCCCCTGGGACATTTTACAAATCTTCGAACTCCCCTACATCTGCATGTATTCTGTTCTGCCAGGCGAATTTGCGTTCCACCTCTTTTAAGCTGAAAAGGGGGGTTGGGTGGCTGAATTGTTAGCACGTGCGCGCTGTACCATAAAGTCTGTCATTGAGTCAACTGGCGTGGTTTCGAATCCCCGGTTGTACATGGCAAGGAGTAGGGTCGCCTGTCCAACCTCGTGGGTTTTCTCCGGGTCCTCCGGTTTCCTCCCACTGCTAAAGACCCCTACGCGCAAGCGAATTATTGAAACAAAATTAAACCACGTGTTAGTCCCGAAATGACCTAGTTTGTGTTGAGTGGACGTTAAACCCTCTCTCTCTCTCTCTCTCTCTCTCTCTCTCTCTCTCTCTTTTAACCTGAAAAAGTAATTTATGAAAAAAATGTGTATTTTATTTACAGGGGTGGATACAGGCTTATTCAATTGTGGGCGGGCGAATTATTTATTGGACCTTTTCCCGTATTGTTTTCTGAGAAAAAAACGCGGCTTGATCGACATGAAAGAACAATTTGTTACAGTATAATATTGCCGAAAGTGACATGTGATTTGTTCTAGCCTTTTAAAGCTTGATAAATACAAATATACCTTTCACGTAATGATACAATGATATTACAAATTGACAAATTCAGTAGTACCTAAAATGCACATTTATGTCCAAACAGTTCTAGCAAATGTAGTTTGTAATATATAAAAGAAACTCCTATTTCTTTGAAGTTTGGTGTGAATACATTCTACGTTTATATGTATAACTAATCCGTCGAGGCGACATAAGTAATAATTACATATTTCAAATCCTCGGTCCGCATCCGAGTCTTGCTTAAAACCCTCCTAACCGAAGAAAACCAAAATTTCACTGTTAACAGACAAGTGCAGTTTTTCCAATGTAGTTCCTTGTCAGGGCGGAGGATCTACCAAGGAACAGCATCAGGTCGTTCGGATGCGGTTAATCCAGAGAGTCGTCCACATTGTAGTGAAGACATCCCATGCCTGATTTGTGTTCCCGCAGTTCGTTTTTATCTGAAGAACAGAACAGAACTGAATCTGAGCTAGGTAATTTGTCGTATATGATACCAGTAACTGAAATTCAGTGTCCGAATTATAACAATTTCATATACCGAATTTTACTTGGCATTCATTTTGTCATCCGAGATCCCGTGTGGACGCTTTTGACTTCGCGGACGCCAGTTTAGGAAGGAAACATTACTTGCTAATGCTATAGAGTATAAGAGGTGACCAGAGCAAGGTCCTCTAAAAAAAAGGGTCCATTATGATAAACAACTAATCGGAGGTGTGTCATCTGGTGCACTCTTTAAACATACAAGTATACTCACCATTCCTTCTATACCATGTACCGTTTGGGCTTCTAGACGTTCCAGTAACCTTTCATAAGACAATGCCAAGAGGTTGCTAATGATAAGGCATGATAGAATAGCGGAATGTTGAGTGGGCGAAGGATCTCCATTAACTAGTATTACGATTAAGGCACTTTATTCTTTGGTTCATAGATCTAAACCTAGTCTGTCCAGCATTTCAGTCTCCAATACGCAGTCTATATCATCCATTATCGTTTGTAATTTTGTATCTAAGTACGTATACATGTTGGTTATCGATTCGTGGATGCTGGGATTTTGAAAAAAGATATGTACCTATAACGTGTGGGGTGCATTACGAAAAGAGATACAGAGACGGGGAGAGAGAGAAAAGAGGAAGAACCTGAATTTAACGCCCGATGGAATACGACCGGTGGGCAACCTTGTCACATAAAATTTAGAAGTTAAACTACCACACTGAACTCGATGACAATAATAGCCTTACAACCTTCCACACAATCTAATTATTAAAAAACTTACGCAATATGTACGGCTTTACGAATAGCGAGACTAGATAGGGCTTGTATTTAGGACAAAACATGTTTCTATAACTTTATACTTTCGCATTTTTGTAAAAAGAAAAATTATAATAATACATGTATGTATTAAGGAAATACAGATAAATGGGGAACAACTCTACATTTCTTTACTTTCTCACACCTCTGGTGTAGAATTACAATCCACGTGTGATATAGCTAGAGCCGGGTGGCGTAAAACTGTGACGCTGTCCCTACTACCACAGGAACAGCCGCACTTTACTTTCATAGTTTAGTAATTTCCTCGGATATTTTATCTGGTGACTGTTCTTTTTACCTGTTCAGTTGTTCCTTGAAAATAAAAAAAAAAGAAAATCGACGGATTCTAAAGGATATTGAACACCTATAAATTATCATTAAAGACATTGTAATATTAAAAAATCTACAAGATAAACCGTTTTCTTTTTTTTTTTTTTTTTTGCTAATGTAGCATGTTGCCCACATTATTGTTTTAACTGCTCGGATTTTAGAAATATATATATGTCGCATCGTCATGTACAGTGCATACGTTTACGTTTTAACTAATAGACCGGGGGGGGGGGGATACGAAAATTAATGTTATGGGTGATGTTTTTTTTTCTTTCTTAACCTCATAATCTGTGTATCAGTAAACAGGTTTCACATTTATCATAATATTATTCTGAAATATTTACAGTCATGATTATTAGAAAATAAGTTAACCCGAAAAAAAGATAGATAAATATGTGGACAATTGTCATGGTTTAATGCGCTGATACCCGTATACACTTTCACTATGACACCACCCACCATAATTTCCTTCATTTTCTCAACTTCTAATGCTATATCACGGATAAAACGAGATGACTACAATAAATTTATATGGCTCAGCGGAGACCATTTTCCTGCGTATTGTTAGTGAACAAAGTGTATGCATTCATCCCATGGTCTAGGCTTGTAATACAACCATCAGACCCCGAATTAACACCGCGCTCCCCGTCAAAGCCAAGTTTTATCGGAAAAACTAAATTTTCACCATAGTACCACACAGATATGGCAATATTTGGTTCAGCGCTATATGGTGTAACGTTTCGGGCTCTCTGATTCACATCTGGTTGAAGGTTTCTTTTAGCATCAAACCTTTTGAACATGATTGTTTGTTCGAATGTGGGTTCTCTTATTCCTGGGTGGTCTACTACCTGGGTGACCTGTTGCTAAGCAACTAATTTTGGGCCGGCGTTATAAGAGCAATCCCACAGAAACCAACCAATGAGCATCTCGAGTCGGTATACATCAATCATATAACGGCGCGCTCTTTGGGCGGAGCGTGAATGTAAATGTGAACAGTTACAGAATCACTGTCTTAGATGAATGTATTCACTGAACATTGTCGTGGATTTTACTTACAAACTACAAGTTTTATGTGGACTAAGCAATGGAAAGCTGGTCTAATCCAGCATGTAGGCCTTCCGAGGTGAGATAATCATATTTTAGGAACTTTTCATGCAATAGAAGCGATGTTAATTGACGATTCTGTAATTGGGGCACAACATGGGTTTATAGATGTTCACATTGTTTGAAGTGTTATATCGTATCCTCTTGTAGGGTCTGGCCATGAACACGGTACCAAGAGAAGGGTGTGATGATTACACGGGGCAACCCGAACTGTACACGAGAACTAGTTGGGTCGATGCTCAACTTGCTTACCGACAGATTAAAAAGGTGAGTACTAATAAGAACCTCTTCATTTTACACACACGGTGGCTTCTATATCCAACGTACAGGAGTTAACCCTGGCTCTGACGCATGGCAGTTCAAAATACATATCAAAAACACATATACGTTTACAGATGTTTACATCTCTAAGTATAGTTTTCTCTAATAAAACTGACACATAAATAATATGAAAAGGCTGTCATTGTTTCAACTCTTTAGTGAATGGAATCCGAAATACCCGAAAACGATTCTCTGTTTTGTGTCCATTGTTGTATTGGCGTGTCATTGCCTAATACTCGCTAAGGTGAACATTCCATTAAGACCATTCGACTTAGTGCCAAGACTGTACAGACATCTTCTGTTATATGTAACTAAACATTACATATCAGTAGTATTCGTATGACCCCGGTTACTTATAATAATCATTATTAGATCGTCGTTCATTGACTCGTAGAAATGCCGGTAGAAGTATCCGTTCATTGGCGGTCACCGATAGATTTTCGAAACCCGTGCATTTATTATGAAGTAAACAATGTTTTAGATACATACGGAAGCCCATATAAATGTATTAATCGTTACATACACAGCATAATATGAATAATAAAGTTTGTTTACATCCTACAATTTGAATTATCTAAACACGTGCTACGATATTTGACAGATCAACATGCGTGACGTGATAACGTTTAGGCAATTTGATTTAATGCATATCTTTAGTCAGGGCGCTTAATTACTGCCACTTTTAAAACATTTTATTTGATAATGTCTGTTATTTCTTGCAGGGGAAAGCCCAAGGAAACACGTGTGCTTTGTGGTTAAGATTACATTTACAAAAATACTTATATAGTACTGGGTGCTTTATTCAGTTACATTGTGGAAAACTTGTATTTGTTGGAATACTCTTGTTATCTTTGTGTTGTGTTGGATTAAAAACAGGGACTATTGAAACAAATGTTGAGGAGCTATGGGTGCAAGGTAAGCTATCGTCTTTTCTAACTTAGTTCTAGTTAAAGACATCCTCTGAATAACCTGAAAACTTTCGCCAGAACTTTACGTAGTCGTTTGATGTTGAGAATTATCCGCCATTTTGAAGGGTGACCTAGAAGCAACATATTTCAATGGAAGTCGTGTGTGGTCTGTTAAAAATGGGACACAGCGTATCATTCAAACACATTGAGGAATGTTGCTACTAAATGATTATTTTTAAAGCAACGAAATAATGACAATGTGATAATTTTAAAGATCGATACTCGTTGGTAGTCGGGTTCAGTTAAAATATAAAGCCCATTGAACTGACGGCTCTGAAGAGTCTGGGAGGCGCTTTCCAACCGATATATGACGAGGCCTTTCAAGGTTTCCTCGCTCCTGCAGAGATGTCCGACGTCAGTTTATGGTAAAATCAAGTCTACATTCGTATTTCAGTTGGTCATCTTGTGCAAAACACGAATCAAATTTTTTATTATCATTCTCACACATATAATGCAGGTATTGGGAAGAATATTTTTCCCAAAATGAACCCCGTATTATTGAATGATAACGCACGTGATTTGTAACCCGCCATCGAAACATGTTATTTACCGCTAATTGCACGTGCTCTTGTGAAGAACGAGTTACGGTAAACTTTTGAATATCTTACAACGTGATAAGTTATATTATTTTAAAATACAGGATTCGTAAATATTCTGAATTGTTTACAATACGAAACTTCACCAGTATAGCTCTGTCTTTTATTCATGGGTCCAATATGGCTTCTACCGGGCAATATGAAAAAAGAGGACTGAAATAGGGTACGAATAAGCATGTAACACCCTGTCAAATTAATTCCCAATGTTATATGACTTTCAATTTTGTTATTTTCATATGATACATAAAATGGAGGGTTATGTTATATTATATGCATGGGTAAAATGTTGACATTGTAACTTTTACGTTAAAAATATAAACAGAGTGAATGTAAAGGTGTTTTTTTTATATTACAATGATATAGGCATAGCTGTATTTTTATAGAAGAAAAATATCATCCAAAATGTCTTTCATTTTGGGTAGAGTCACCTGTAACTGTTTGGCGATCATGTTTGATCTGACCACCTTTTCTATTTCCATCACTTTTACAATCCATCACTTTTACATTTTAGGGTTAGGGTCAGCTATTTAAGATTAAAACCCATAAATTCAGGGTTAGGGGTTTAAGATTAAAACCAATGAGAAAACAAAATCTTCAATAACAATGAAATATTGAAATTTATCACAAACAAATAGTATATAAAATTATTGAATCATTTGCATTTGTTGTCTTTCTATTTATTAGATATATTTAATCATATTTACAAATTTACTTTAAAATTCACGAAGATTATAACACAGTAACCTCATTTTTTGGAAATTCAACAAATTAAAACACTTCAACAATTTTTCAGAGTACATGTCCACACTATATAACTATATACACATCATTGCTGTAGTATCTGTACCCAATAATAGTGAGGAAGCCTAAAGGCATAACTCACTATCTCTTCTTTTCACTGGTTCAGTGGTTTCTTATTGTTCCTTGGAAATACAGACCACCCTAGATGGGCAAAGGATAATACACCTTCACCTTCAAATCAGCCTTTCTTCTTCTGGCCCTTATTACCCTTTGTATGTTAGCTGATATCTTTCTCTAAGCTGATCAAATTGTGCTTTACCCTCAATGAAATATGAAGGTAACTATGTGGAATAAAATCGGTGTAGTGTCAACAATCTTTGTTATTTAAAGATATAAATTCTAGTGTTTCATGGATTTGATTATATATTCACCAAGTCAATGTTTAAACTTGTTGGTGTCTTTATAACAATGTTATAGAATCCTGTTGATTATTTGGAGATAACAGGGTTTAAAGTAATCAGTTCTGTTTACTTTCAATGTGATCCAAGTGGTTAATTTGGGAGATAATTGGCAATTAATGGAATTCTATGAGTTAATTATAGAGATGCTTGATCCTAATGTTCCTTAAGGGGAAATTAAGGGTTTCTATGATCTCTTGATCGATAATTACCTGAAAAGCAAGTACGTAAATAAAGTTCCACATTGTATGTATAGTCTCTATTGGCCAATGTTGATAGCCATATGTTTTTTTGGGTATAACCTTACAAGGGTGGCTGGGTGGCCGAATGGTCTAATACATGCGCTTTACATGTAGATCATAAGGTCTGTCATTTAGTAAAGCGGTGTGGATTCAATCCCACACTTGTATGTTACAAAGAGCAGGGACACCTGTCCAACCTCGTGGATTTTCTCTGGATCTCCCTTTTCCACCCACAGCTAAAAGACATTCGTGCAAGTGAATTATTGAAATAAAATTGAACCATATATTAGTCTCAAAATGACATAGTTTGTGGGTGTTAAACCTCTTTCTCTGATAGCCTTAAGCATGCATTCCTACATGTATATTCGGATTGGGCATCACAGTGTTATTACATATATGTGGATAAAATTGTTAAAGTCATTCCCATTGGTACAGTGTATTTACAGTTACATGTAGGACTCTGGGGGGTTAAATCATCATGAAAAGTATGTTCAATGACAGAGAAAGAAATCTCCAAACATCGCATTTTCGATAAAATGAAATGAAATGAAATGGGGTTTAACGTCCTACAGTTTTGCTCCTAAACTGGGCTAATGAAGACGGGCATACGCCATACAGTGTGCTATGAGGGAAATTTTGCCCGGGCAGCGGCGCTATGGCCTACTCTTATATCGAATTCCAACTACCAAGGGATCTTTTACGTGCACACCAAATTGTACACGGGACCTCAGTTTTTCGTCCCATCCGAATGACTAGACAGCTGTCCTTGTCAGGCCCTCCGTCCTGCATCACTGACAAGGGGAAACCACGCCTGAAAATCGGGATGAACTTTCTTGGCCAATGCAGGGATCGAACACCCGACCTCCAGGCTAGCGAGCCAGTGTCTTACCCACTTAGCCAGCATTTTCGATAAGATATCAAAGTAGTTTTGCATGGATACAATTCAGTAGGATCTGATGGGGGTCTCTTTAGTTTCCTCAACTAGTTCTTCGTTCAGTTCAAATCAGTATTATAGGTTTTTCTTAGTAGAACATTTATACCATACATTCATGTATGTTTCATCTCTCTAAAATTTGCATACAGGAAAAATTCTAGATGACAACCTACTTCGTTTTATACCAATAACATTGAATATTTCTCTGCAAGTCCGAATAAGGTGTATAAATCTCAATATCTTTTATTACATCGACTTTTATGGTTGTCAAACATTAATATATACTATATACACATGTCAACTTGGTTCACATTGAATGGATGTGATGGCTCATTATACAAATCTATGGATACCGTGTGGTAGAAATAGAGTGCATAGTTCACTATATCTATTTAAACGTGTGTGTACCCACACAGAAAGAGGGCAAAACCTAAAGAATTCTTTACATTCACACCGTTGATAAAGAGAATTCTGAAGTAAAAATGTATCTTGTTTACATATGCTATATTCAAGCTGGCTACCTTTATTAGAAATGAAATAAAGCTGTGAACTTGTTTCCCCTATATAAATGAAGCTTGAGAGTACAGTTTACTCTATTGAGCGGGGATATTGATGGTCAACTATACTGTATACTGAAATAACCAGAACAAAAAAATATCACACTCAATGCCTGCTTATGAAATGAGGTTTTTGCGTTTTATTTTCCAACTCACAATAAATTTAGAAATTTTTTATTCACAATTTGAAAATTTTAAAGATTAAAGATTTTTAAAACTTCTATAAACGGGATTGAAATTGTTGTACATGTTGCATTACTCTGTGGCATTATTTTCATTGCTTTTATACATATTAGATATACATTTATCTAGGCTGGGTAACACTTTTAACCTGAAACTCCTGGGCCCCCAGTTTTACATGGCATGACACCTTCTGACTGATAAGAACCTCTGTCAGAATAGTAGTGGCTGGTGCAGTGATTCTCCACCTTTTTTTGCCATCACACACCTTGGAACACATGAAAAAATAGCGGCACACCTGGTTAAATATATATGAAAAATATTTGAATTTTGCAAAAAAAAAAACATGGCAAGTCATAGACGGAATACAATTGTAGACACAGAATAGTGATAACGCATAGAATGACTCAAACTAAATGAAGAAAAGCACAGCTATGAACTTACTTTATTGCAGTGTTTCAAATAGCTGGCTTCTTTAGTGAGAAATTTTCTTATTGTGCCATTCAAAATTTCGTGTCACACTTAGGAAGATCGTACAGACTGGTTGAGAATCACTGGGCTGGTGGTTTAACTTCTGCTTCCACAGTAGTGATATTGCAGACAACAAGGTAGAGAGAAGAAGATCTTGCTCCTGTGATAAAAACATGATTTATCATCTTTCCATCTTTGTCCATTGATTTGTTTAGTTGGAATTTCTTCCCTTTATTTAGAAAACATGAATGGGCTCAGCTAACTGGGTGGGGGGGATGGCTGAATGGTTAGCACATGCGCGCTGTATCAGAAGGTCTTGTCATTGAGTCAACTAGCGGGGTTTCGATTCCCCGGTTGTACATGACAAGGAGTAGGGTCGCCTGTCCAATCTTGTGGGTTTTCTCTGGGTCCCCAGGTTTCCTCTCACTGCTAAAGATCGATATCAATAAAATTGAACCATGTGTTAGTCCCGAAATGACCTAGTCTGTGTCGAGTGGAAGTTAAACCCCATCTCTTGCTATCCCTCTCTCTCTCAGCTAACCAGTTGTCGCAGAAGGTGCAGAAGGTAGTGGATCTTAGAGAATGTACTTACATGTATGCTAACCTATGTGCCTCTCTATTCTGTCTTTGTTAATGATAATACATGTATCAGAATGTATGGCTAAGACTGCCATTCATTGGTCATCATTGATCAGTCATTGATGAATGTCCTAGATTATTGGAGGAGAATATTAGGGTAATGGTTGTACAAAGAGTTAATTATTCATT